AGAAAGACCGAGGCAGGACCCCTCTCCCTCCTGCTGTGTTTCCAACAGTACTTAGTACTGTGTGTGTGTGTTGAACTAATCCCTGCATCCACTGAGCTGCCTAAGTTAGTACTTAGGCAAGTTAGTACTAAGTACAACAGTACTTAGTACTAACTTGCCTCTCTCATGCTACATCCTGAGCTCATCTCCCTCCCCTATCAGTGACAAGGAGGCTCTACAGAGAACATCTTCTCTCTATAAAAGCCAGTTACCAGACGTCCATCTGTAAGTTATTCATGCACTGTATGAGATGTGAGGGAACTGAGGCATGCATGGACTGGGGGCAGGGGAGACTTTCGGCTCAATGAAGGCAAATAAGAAAATAAAAATCTGGATTCTGAACTCATCCTTTCAAAACCTAAAAATCTATGCCATGGGACCACCTGTGAGATGACAACTTGCTGTGTGGATTTGGATATGTCCCTCAACTTCTCTGGGCTAGTTCCCTAATCTGCCAAATAGGAGAAATACATAGAACTGCATTAGTCCTGAGAGGCTTCCATGCTGACAACCAGCCAGACCCACTCTGAGGCACCGGTAGCCTCTCTGTGAGACGCCTGTAGGCAGGGGCCCTTTGTTGGCCTTACCTGCAAAAGACCTGGTGAGAAAGTGCATTGTGGGAGGGTCAAAGACCAGCCCTGAGGGGAGCAGGGAGCCATAGCAGACTTCAGCCAAAGCTTCTGGTCCTTAGCTCACTCTTGGCCTGCCCAGCAGGAAGTGAAGTGAGACGCTCCCAATTGGCCCCCACATCTCATGCAACTCTGCAAAACCCCACGTTTACATGAGTGCACACATTCCTTCAGATGGCACTTCCTGTCATGCCCACTTGCAGGCACAGACACTAAAATTCCTAGAAATGACTCTGTCCACAGCCAGGACGCTGCTCTGAGCCTCAGGTCCATCCTTGGGGCTCAGTTTCAGGATAAACAGGTGCCCCCTCTCTCCACTATAAGATGGACACAGATACAGAATGCACAGCTCTACCTTGCTCTCCAAGGGACATCTGTCAATGCACCAGGGCAGGTGGCCTGTAGATTCTGAAGCATCTGCACATGACTCTTGTTTTATAGCATGTGATCACTTCCTTCTAACCCTGGACTCAGGCAGAAAGAACATAAGGCCTACTCTGGCTTTGTGTAGCCTCTTGAACCTCAGGATCACCATCTGGGGAGAGCCTTAGAAGGCAGAGCCATTGCCTGGGTGGGAAGAGGGAAGAGAGGAAGGATGGGCACTAACCATGTCCCACTGGGCATTTACATATGTCATCTCCTAGAACCTGCCCACCAGTCCTTCTCAGCCAGCAGTGCATCCTCTGGCTTCTTTCAGCACAGACAGGCTCAGATCCACCTAGCCATGACCATGCAGCCAGGAACAGTCTGACACTCCAATTAGTTCTGTGCCAAGACCAAAGGCACTCTCACCCCTCCCTTAAGAACAGCCTGACTTCTGGGGACTGAAAGCCCTGGTAGAGAACAGGCTGGATGGTCTACTCACAGCTACCTGTCTCATGGACAGGCCAACGATGTAGCTAAGAAATGCAAATTAATGATGGGAGTCTGAACCAGGTTCAGAAAAGGGAAGTTCTCTCTCTCTCTCTCTCTCTCTCTCTCTCTCTCTCTCTCTCTCTCTCTCTCACACACACACACACACACACACACACACACATTTCCAAAGTAAAATGCAAATGATATTTTCAATTGTGTGCCAGAGTTGTCTTGCCCATGCCTCTGGCCACAAACACACTAATGTTCATCACAGGAGCTGTCAGTAATATTAAGACATATCCAATCCCACCACCCAGCATAGAGCCCCTCACTGGTCCCTCATCAGAGCAGCTCACAGGCAGTTCCCAAGCAGCACAGTTTCATGTGGACCTATACGCACAGCCCTTACATCCCAGGCTTGGCGTGGTGACAGTACCATAGATGCACGGTGAATGCATTCTAATGCAGCCTGATCCCAGAGCACACAAAGCAACTCAATGCTATCCCGTCTCTTTTTATGGAGTGTCCACCACGCGCAGAACACTTTCCAGGGCAAGTTGGTGGCTAACCAAAGGGAGAGGGAAGGCCTAGACTCTCAGTCCTAGGGTGAAGCAGCTAAAAGAAGCTGTGAGGAGGAGTTGTTTGGCCTGGCTCAGGGGTCCCAGAGAAGGGGGTAGTTGAAAATGGAGAGGTTAAGAACTTATGCGAGGTCTCAGCAAAGCCAAGGGACACCATCTATCTGTTTCAAACCCACAGCAATTCAAGTGCTTGCAGCCATTTCAAAGTACCAGTACCCTATGGATTTCAAATACTGATTTCTCAAATTGGACTAGGAGTCCAACATAAAACAGAACTAAGGGAACCTTCTGGAGCAGAACAGGTACTCAGGACCTAGAGTGTTTCTTGGCTCTGCCTCTCACAGAGGGTCCTTTCTAGAAGTCTTGCTTCTCCTCCCCAGCTGCCCTGTATGAAGGAGCCTCTTCCTGTGCCCCACCTCCCACCCCCAACCCCATCCCATTCTGCCACTTATTCAGCACGCACTTGCCAAGCACCTGCTCAGTATAGGCTTCAACTGGGGCAGGAAGTCCAAACAGGAGGCTTACAGATATGCCATTGGTGACTCCCATGCAGTTGTGAGGCAGAGGGAGCCCCCCTACATCTGTGCCCATGGCTAGGGTACCATGCTTAGCCACAGGATACACATGTGTGCCAGACTGGAGCTCAGAGGAGGCATTTGAACAAAACCTGACAGTCACATAGGTGTCCACAGGTCAGAGCAGGGAAGAAGAGCCCTTCCCAGAAGAAAAGACTGCCGAGCTTGGCTCCAAGGCCTAGGAAGCGTGGCTGCAATCTGCAAGAGACAGCCCTGTGGGTCCTCCCCTCACAGGGTGAGATTGCACACGTTCACTGGGCCCAGTGCTGTGGAGCCTTGGATGCCGTAAGCAGGGTCATGGGATGGGGAGGAGTGTTGGAGGCTGTGGGGAGCAGGTGGGTTAGGAAGAGCCTGCGAGGTGAGGTATCAGCAGACTCTGTGTCACTCATGAGTGGCAGCCAAGCTTGAGATTATCCAGCACACCCAACCCCTACTCCCCTGGGCAGCAGATCGGGAGCAGCTCTGTGTTAGCTGGTACCACATGCCCCTCTTACTTCAATACCTCCATCGTGCCTGCCCCTTACCCAGTCCCCTGCCCCAGAGGCTCTCACTGCACTCAACTCCCAGATGAGAACCAGCTTCCACCAAGTCATCAAGAAGGCAGGAGAGCCACAGGAGAACCAGGAGGAAAGCATCCTCTGCTCACTGTCATCAATTCCTCAGACTCAGAATTTAAACTAAAAAAACTATGGGGCTGGAGAGATGGCTCTGAGGTTAAGAGCCTGGCTGCTCTTCCAGAGGTCCTGAGATCAATTCTCAGCACCCACATGGTGGCTCACAACCATCTGTAATGAGATCTGGAGCCCTCTTCCGGCATGCAGTCATACTTGCATGCAGAACACTATACATAATAAATAAATAAATCTTAAAAGAAACAAACTTGTTTTGGGGCTGGGGATGTAGCTTAGTTTGTAAAGCACTTACCTGCCATTCATGAAGCCCCGGGTTCAGTCACCAACACCATATAAATTGGGTGTGGTGTGGTGTGGTGGTACATGTCCGTAATCATAACACTCAAGGGTGAGAGGTGGACAGTTCAAGGTCATCTCAACAACATAGTGAACTTAAACTCAGCCTGAGCTACACAAAGAACACCAGCTCGTCTTACAGTTGTGCGCCGCTCCTCCCCAGTATGAACTGGTATCATGAAGGTTACCACAGCAGTTTGGGGTCCCATCTGGATCCACCTTCCCCCAGGACCATTAGTGTTCAGACTAAGGCCCCAAAGTGTCAGAGAAAGTGGGTGCTGTGGCTTAAGATGTGTGGAAGATCGGGACTCTGTATTAGGATCAGAGCAGGGGACTGCTCACCCATGAAGCCACTAACCAGGCAGGAGCCCTCCACCTTGTGGCCCTCATACTCCCAGGTTGCTTGGCCCCAACTGGGGAGAAATCAAATGCACAGGCACCTGTGCCTGAAACCAAGAGGGCAAGATTAAAATCCTCTTCCCAGGCTGTCGAGATAGTTCAGCAGGTAAAAATGCCACCAAGCCTGATAATCTGAGATTGATCTCCAGGACCCATACTGTAGAAGGAGAGAGCCAACTCCCCAAAGTTGTCCTCTGATCTACACATACGGATTAATAAATAATGCAACAATAATAATGCTTTAATTCTGATTTATTCCCTTTTATCCTCATCATTAGAACAGTCCCACCCTCCTGGGATGTGAGACGACTAGGGATGAGCTCAGCCCAGGGCCAGCATCTACTACTGCAAAACAGAATGTCAATCAAAGCATGAGGAACATGGAGGGAGCATTTTCCCTGTGCAGGCCAAGCTCCCCACCTACCGCTGTCACCCTCCAGTCCACCCACCCTCCATGGCATCCCCAGTGGATGTGACACGGCCACCCATGGCCATTGTCACCAGGTGATTTTACGGCTCCTCCCACTGTACCTGTGCATCTAACTTGAGTTCCCCCGCCCGTCAGTTCCCCGGAAGAGCAGCTAACTTGACCAGAGTGAGCAGTGGGTGTGCAAGCAGCAGCCGACCTCATGTGCAGACAGTTGGCCGTGTCCACAGCAGAGCACAGACATGTATGTCCTAGCCCTGCCAGTCTTTCTCTGTTTAACTCCCTCACCATGGGAGGCACAGGCAGGCTCTACCTACCTATGAGCTCACTAAGGACCCAGAGCGTGGATTTTGTGCAAAATTTCCCCATTGGGCTATGCCTTTTCCTCAACCCCAACCCTGTTCCCCTGAGGTAGCCTAGCCCCATCAATGCTAGAAATACTAACTATAGGGGGGTGGAGCCAGGTTGGGAGTGGCCAATGAGGAGGTTAGAGGCTCCTCACTTCACCCAGTAAACAAGTTCTGCATATCCAGGGCTTATTCAGATGCAAGGACACACACACACACACACACACACACACACACACACACACACACACACACACACCGGCATCCCACCTGGAGAGTGATGGACAGAAAATGTACACTGGGAGGGAAGAGTCTGCCCTCCACCCTGTGAGCCAACCCCATGGCCAAGACTGTGTGCTCTGCCACCCCGGCTTCCCTTCCCAGAACAGAACTCTTTGCCCCCACTGCCCAAGGGTTGGAGCCCACCCAACCACTATCTGGTTCCATGTTGGATTCTTCCTGTAGACAAAAAGTTCACTCCATAGCTGGTCCCATAGGGCACAAAGGTTGGACCTTCCTGTCCCAGAATAGGACTTCTTTCTGGGCTACTGGACATAAGTATCTACTGAAACCTCTTAGCTGCCATCTTGTCCCTCATCCTGGCATCTGGTTCTGCTTCCTATGCTCACATCAGGATTTGCTTCTGAGCCAGGAATAGTGAAATTCATCTGCAATCTCTATACTCAAAGGGAAGAGGCAGGAGAATTACAAGTTCAAGGCAGCCTGGGCTACAGAGTGAACCCCTGAGAATCTTGTCAGAGACAAGAGGAGAAGAGGGGAAGAGGGAGAGGAGAGCAAGGGCAGGGGAGAAAGGGAAGAAGGGGGGATAGGAGAAGATATAGATTTGGTCCCAGACCCTCCCAGCTAACCTTCTTCTGCCCTCTATCTTGGGGTCAAACCTGCGATAACCCTGAAGCAGACGTAGTTTGGTGTTCAAAGATGCCCTGCAACTTCAAAGAGCTAGCAGCCTTTTGAAGTCTCCCGTCACAGCACCCTAAAAGACTGCAGAGCTGGCCAGCCCACCTGTGAAATGTACCGTCTTTGCAGAATGAGGCACAGCACCCACCAGCCCCCGCAGAGAAATATGGGCTCCTGCCACGGAACGCAAGGAGGCTGGGAGAGTTCAAAAATACGTCAGGCCAAGCTAGAGACGAGAATTGAAACACTGCCTCATAATGACCTGTAAATGCATTTGTTACCCTTTTTCAAATCCAGAGACTTGTACTTTGAGGGAGAAAGGCTTGCGTCAGGGATAAGGTTTTGACTCTTTCTTTTTGGGATTCTGGCAAGTGGTGAATCTGGTAAATCTGCATGAGGTTGAAAGGTACATTTAAAGCGGCTTTCTGGGATTCCCTAAAATGAGTTTCTGTGGCAGGAGGCCTAGAGAATGTACTTCGGTGGCTTCCTTCCACGGCACACAGCCATTGGTTTTACGGCCGTCTCCCTCCACATCTGTCTTTTCCTTGAGTGGGTGGCCCGCACCCATCGTGGCCATTTTCCTCTGTCCCTGACTGTCTCTGTGTCCTCCTCACTCATGGTCACTCCTCCTCCTGCTCCTCCTTCTGTCCTTCCACAAGTACAAGTTTACAATGCAAAAGGCAGTGTTCCTAGTCACCCTTCCAAAGGGCTATGTCGGCGTGTCCTGTGTTTATCGTTTAAGTCTTTTAATGAGGTGACCCTTTCTCCTGTGCCCTTGGATTTCTGCAAAGGCTTCCAGGGCTCCAGGCTGTGGGTGGGAAGATCCCCACCTGGCCTGATTTTCCTCCTCTCTAAAAGCCACAGCACTCCTTGGGAGGTGGCTGTGCTGGGTGGCAGCCTGCAGCAAAGCCAACCAGATCAGTTCTGGTTTCTATTTATGGGACCAATGGGGACTCCAGTCTCAGCCTGGCTTTTGTGGGGCTGGGATGGCTGCCTCGAGGCTTTAAATCATCTGAAGAAAACTGCAGCACGGTCCTCATGTGCGGAGCTCCTTCAGCGCCACCATTTGGAGTAGACCAGATTTCTGGCTCCCAGTGACAGCAGTGCGACTTGCCACAAGTGGGCTGGCCAGTCTCTGCCTCAGTTTTCCCATCTGTAAAATGAAGATACTGCTATTTAGGACCCACGGCATGAGGTTACTGTGAGGATGAAACTGGTCTGTGCTAACACCATAGCAGGCCCACACACACACACACACACACACACACACACACACACACTAATCAGGCTGGCAACATACTGAGCAGAAGACCCTAAAATAAAGTTAGGGTCAGGGGTAGACAGAAAACAGAGCCCTGGGAGGTCACCACGGTCACACAGGAGCTAAGCTGCAGAGAGGAGCCAGCCTCTTCTGCAGCAGCATTTAGAGGGCTGTGGAACCCCTCCGGCTGCCTGCTGCTCTTCCTTGGCCTCCCGACCCAAGCCCTTCCTCTCTCCCACCCTCTCAATGCTGTACTTTGGCAGCAAGCCCTCCCCACAGGGGACAGAAAGGACTTCCCACACTTGCTGTCCACCCAGCATCCACACAACACCACCACCATGGGGAGCGGGGCACACGCCTGGTCACCCGCCCATGAGCGAGGGCTGTGGGTCCTGTCTGTGGTTTGCTGTGCAGCCCTCTCAGTCCCCTTCACTCTCCTCCGGCTTCACAAGCTTCCTGTGATTTGTTTGCTTGCTCTGAATTAATAAAAACACCCATCTACCCTCAAACAGCCCCCCGCCCCCGCCCCCAGACAGTGCATGTCTTCTTTCAAGGTTTTATTGAAAATACACAGACTATTCCCTGTCCTACTCTGAAAGGGAAAACAGGGGACTGTTGACTCTCTGTCCATGACAGTATCTGTCTCCCTTGGCCCTGCTCCCTGGACACCCCTAGTACCTCTGCTACCTCCTCATTAGTGCTGTGGAAGTTATGTGGGTGCACTGGGACAAGTAAGTACCCACCATTCTGTCCTGGTGTTGGAGGGGAGGCTGGAGCCAGGACATGGAACAAGGTTGTGGAGGTCCTCTTTTCCTCTTGGCCTGTCGGCCATCAGTCTAAGAGGGGAAAGAGGAAGAAGGGGCAACAGAAAGCTTTATGCGCAGCCCATGAGCAGGGACGGACGGACGGACGGATGGACGGACGGAGGCCTCTGGGAGACAGACTTTGGTAGATCAGCTCAACTTTGCTCCAGAGTACAAGGAATATATAGGATTGGGGAGCCTGGGGATAAGCCCTGGTTTGCATTAAGTGGCATGCTCCTATCACAAGGCTTGGTGTGTGGCAGCAGGGTCCTATAGCACAAGTCTTCTTAGCAGGGATCTGTGCCAAGGGTCAAGCTAAAGATGAATCAGGCATCTGGTTTAGAGAGAGCTTTTACATAAGGTCAGTCCTCCAGGCCCAGGGACATCCTCCAGTAAGGCTGAGTACAGAGAGGAAACTTTGCTGGGAAGGGACGGAGGGAGGGAGGAAGTGAGTTTCCACATTGCAGAGCTTACAGAAAGCTGCCAGGCCATGGCAGACTGCGACCTCTAGCCTGCCAGCACAAGGTAGTAACAGAAGAAAAGATTGAAGCAAGGTACTTATTGAGTAGGCAATAACAACACTAAGAGTTCCAATGCACAAGTACTCACCATGGTGGCAATCTCTGGGGAAAGGCACATTTCTAGACATTGTATCAACTCCTTAATCAGTGTGCCAACCCTGTGAATTAGCTACCATAATGACTCTGACAGACACCTGGCACAGTCAACTAGGGAACTGTCCAGTGAGTGATGAATCCAGTAGCCGAGTTAGACTCCCTACCTCACCTCCAGCCTCCCTTGCTTCCCCCAACAGGATAAGGTCCAAACCAAAGTGGCTTCCCGGTGTCCTGAGCCTCTGCAGGTGACTTCAGATGCCTGCTCGTCCAGAGTCTCCATCTGTGACAGGGGCAGAGCTGAAATTCAGCCTCCAGCACACCATGGTCCAGTCTATACAGCATCACCTCAAGCCTATATCTCCCTCTCCCTCCACCCTCCCCTCTCCCCCCCCATCCCCCAGGAGACATGTCTGTGCTACTATACCACAGACTGGCTGATAGTCAGCTTGCTGTCTCTGTGACAGACATCGGAAACAATCAGCCAAGAGAAAAGGGTCACTTGGGGTTCCCTTTCAGAGGTTTTAGTCCACAATCATTGGCCCTGTCACTTTACCCGTGGTTGACACATCATGGTGGGGCAAAACTATTTGCTGCAAGCCCAGGAAATGAAGGAGGAAGGGGAAGAGGCTAGATCCTACAACCCTTTTCTAGAACATGACCCCTGGTAACCCAGAGACCCTCCCACAGGTTTCCACCACCTCCAGTAACAACGAATAGAGGGACCAGTCCTTGAAACCCGGGCTTTTGAAAATTCCAGACCCAAGCTTCCCAGACACTGATGACCCCTGCATTGCCAAAACTGAGAAGTCAGGTGGCTTCTCATGATCTTTGGGCTGGTGAAAGAAGGCATGAGCATGGTGGGAGCCATGGAGTGCTTCGGGACCAGGAATAGCAAGACTAGCATGCTTGCCAGTGCCGACTGTGGACAGCTCTGATGCTGTGACTTGTGAGCATCTCATCACCAGACCAGCTCGGGAGAGCACTCCTCCACCCCATCTGCCCACAGTACCCCACAGTCTTTGGGCGCTCACTGCAGCTCTTCGAGTTCCGTGTTTTCCTCCTTCCCCTCTGTGGTGGTTTGAGTAAGAATGGCCCCCATAGGCTCATATATTTGAATGCTTGGATCCCAGTTGGTGGAACTGCTTGAGAAGGATTAGGAGGTGTGGCCTTGTGAAGGAAGTGTGGCCTAGTTGGAGAAGGTGTGTCACTGGGAATGGGCTTTGAGGTTTCAAAAGTCCATGCCAGGTCCAGTCTCTCTCTCTGCTTCTTGCCTGTGGACCAGATTGATAGAAGCGCTCAGCTACTGCTCCAGCACCATGTCTGCCTGCCTGCCATGATGGTCATGAACTCACCCTCTCAAACTGTAAACAAGCCCTCGATTAAATACTTTCTTTCATAAGTTGTCTTGGTCGTGGTGTCTCTTCACAGCTATAGAACAATAACTAAGACACCATCTAATTAGATTGCACAGTTAACTTTATGATTATGAATAATAACTAAAAAAGAAATTTCTAGATACAAATCATAGCACATTCCATATCCTAAAATGTCCCATTTACATCCTTCTCTGAATCTTCTTTATATAGAAATTTTTTTAAATAGGAGTAAGGAGGGATAGAAGATGGGAAAGACACATATATTACTTAAGTCACATATGTATGATTAACTCATCTACAGGATTGCCAGATAAAATACAGGGTGTCCTATTAAATGTGAATGTCAGGTGGAGATACTAAGACTAAAAGTATTTTTCTGAAGTCTACATTTTGGGGCATCCTGTGCTGAATCTGGGAGCCCAAGGCACAGTCCAACTTGGCTACTCATGGGCTGTGTGGTGCCGGACAAGAAACTTAGTTCCTAGCTCAGTTTCTTCATCCCTAAGATGTGCATAATTACTGCATGTAGATCCTTGTTTGGAGAATCAAATGATGTTTGTTAAGTATCCAAAAGAGTTCTCGCTGTTCTGGAAGCTATTCTTCACATTATGATTACTTCCCTGTGATTGTATCCAAAGCAAAGCACTGGGTAGTCCGAGAAACACAAAGAGATGACAAAACCTCTACTCCAGAACTGTAGAGGACTTGAAACAAAGCCACAAATCAGTGTCACGGCAATGAGATGAGTGCCATGTGTGCAAGATGTGTGTAAGAGGCAAACTGAGGTGTTTATATACTCAGGAAGGAGATTTCTTCTGATGCAGTAGAGCAAGGCACAGACATCAAGCACAGGCCATTCACCCTCTAAGAACTGGGGACAGAAAGCCAAGTGTGCCAAGGCTCTTCAAGCATCTCACAGACCCGGGGAGCCAGCAGATGGTGGGAGCACCCAGTGCCACATGCACTAACAGAGGGGATGTTAAAGTACCGCATGAACCTGTGGAGACGGCACCTGGTCCAGAAGTAGTGCAGAGGCTGGAGGAGAGAGGATGATGAACTAAGATTGACAGTTGCTATAACGGTAACCTAAGTCTTAGAGAAAGAAAGCCAAGAGTAGCCTTTGGGCTGATAGAGGAAGATGATGGGATCCCGGCTAGAGTAGACTCGTGATGAGGACCCTCCAGGAGGGGGAGCTTCACAAAAACAGGCTACTCTTGAGAAAAGGGAACTGTCCAGTTCAGCTAAGGCCTCAGAGAAAGGCCTGCAGGCCTTTCTGCAGGGAGCCTTAAGTGCCCTCCTTGAGAATCGACTGGTTTTTACAGCCACAGGAGCCA